GAGGAGCTCTGAGGGGCACCAGGGGTCTCATCATGTGGAGGGGGCTTTGTGGGCCATGGTCAAACGTTTGGGCTTCCATTGCACAGGAAGCCACCGGCTGGGTGGGTCGGGTTTCAGCAGAGGAATGGTCGGCTCCATCTCGGTTGGGGGGTCAGCAGGGCTGTGCGTGTGCTGGAGTGGGTTGGACGTGGGGGCAGCAGGTGGTGGGCGGAATAGCGAGCCCTCAGAGACACCCCGTATTATTCCCTGGAACCTGTGAATATGTTAGGTGACAAGGCAAGGGTGGGATTAAGGTAGCAGATGGGATGAAGGTTGTTAACAGCTGCCTTTGAAATAATGAGAGTATCCTGAATTGGGGTGGGGGGTGGCGGGGATGCAATCACTAGGGTCCTTACGTGGGCAAGAAGAGGGAGACCAGAGTCAGAACCAGAGAGATCGGAGGTGGGAAAGAGTCCAGCGGCCATGGCTGACCTTGAAGATGGGACGAGGCCAGGAGCCAAGGAACGTGGGCAGCTCTAGAGGCTGGAAAAGGCCAGACTATGGGTTCTCCCTTGGGGCCTCCCTAGGCACCGAATGAAGTGCTGCCGGAACCTTGACGTTGGCCCAGCGGGAGCCATTTCCGACTTCTGACCTCCTACGCTCTAGGTATCAAGATAATAAATGTGGGCTGTTTTCGAGTCACTGAGTTTGCAGGACTTGTTACAGCATCAGCTGGGAACTAATCCTCAGGGAGACCTACAGGAAGGGTGCCGTGATTGCGTGGATGAGCTTTGGCATGGGCTCAGGGTGTACAGGGTCCAGCACAAATTTTTCTTACAAAGTCTTTTATTACAAAATCGCAAGTGTGTCATTCTGTAATATAACAGTGTCACGCTCAAGCACGCCATGTGACATTTTAGGTGACATCGCTGTCCATCTCTCGGGAGGCATTCACGCACCCTGCCGACCACACTCAGGCAGGCCTGACCTCTGCCGGGCCCTGTGTTTATTTACCTTCCCTACAAGCTGTTGCCCTCTGCGTTAGGTCCTCTTTCACGCTGCTCTCGGCAGGCCACTTGTTGTTACCTCTGCAGAGGCAGGACTTGGCCTTTCTCGAGTTCCTGTCCGTTGACTCAGTGGGAAGCACAACCAGTCCCCATGCATGGGATTTCATGCCACCTGGCCAGTCAACGGTTGGGCGGCCGTGCCAGGGCAGACAGCTCTGGAAAACTAAACACCAGAGCACCGTGGTGAGCCAGCGTGTGAGCGAGAAGTGTTCCGGGGACATTCGGACCGGAAAGGGGTGAACGTGGTGAGGGGACCGTCGCTGTGGTCGCAGATTCGGTCTGGCTGCACATCCGAGCTCCTCAGGTGACAGACACTCAGGTGTCTGACACAAAGCACAAGGGAGACTTTGTCCTTCTCTCTCCTGGCCCCCGATAAATGATCTCTATTGGAACAAATAATCAATCAGTCTCTATCGGAAAGGGGATTCTCTCTTTCTGTGGCTTCTCCAGAGATGATGGGTGACGCTTGGGTAATCCTTTTGCCTCTCTTTGTATTTGTCAAAACCTCAATTCAAAACGTCTTAGTTTAGGGACCTATTTTAATAGGGTAACTCCCCAGGCTCAAATATTCAATATTCATGAGTATTTTTGAAGGGTTAGTAGTAACCAATGAATGTGGATGCTGTCTTAGAATAATTTCTTCTTTTTTTTTTTTTGTAGTCAGTGGCCCCAAAACAGCATCTTATATTTAGAAGCCTGGGTCTCAGGTTACATATCAAGATACATGCATAATGCTGTTTTGCTGAGTGCAGCTGTCCTGATGCAGGCCAGAGATAATTTGCTGATACAGGAGCTGAGGCAGGCGATTCCATGTCTGCATCTGCTTCTGCCCATAACTTGTGGGCAGAGACACGGCACCGTTCACAGGCTGTGGCCGTATCATCCTCAGCAGTGTGCAGAGTGGTGGGACAGGGCCATTCGCTCCTCGAGGCCTCCGCTCTGGGAATCAGCCAGTGCTCCCTCCTGCAAAGGGACTGCAAGACACTGGCAGTGCCCCTGTCTCGTCACTCTCAAGTCTCCTTCTAATTGTGTCCCTACCTTTTCCCCTGCAAGACAGAGAACCCTTGCTAGGGGTCTCTCTTTGTCACTTTGGCCTCTCCCAAAACCTAGCCCAGTTTCTGTGGCTGAACAGGTGCTCTGCAAATAATGATCGAATGAGGAAATGGGCGAGGGTGGTGATAAAATGGGGAAATTGTTTGGAAAGCTATTAGGTTGCTTTTGTCCCGCTGTGGCAGGTCTAGGAAGAAGCAGCAGCGAGCTTAATACAGAGTGTGGTTCTGCTCAGCATCCGTCCCTCCTTCTTCTGGTAAAAGCACTTTGGTTTTTCCTTTGGGAAACCACCCTTCCCACACCCTCGATCCATAAATTTGGGTGGAGCTGACCTCACCCTGTGCTCCACTGGCGGAATTGTGCCCCAGGCCTGGCTAAAGAGGGCCCTACTCCCCACCCCCCAACCCCTGACACTGCAGCAGTTTGAATGGGAAGGGTACCCACTCCTGTTAGTGAATGGTTGGTGTCCATTCTGATAGGCTGGTTCCAGTTCAGAAGCAATGGTGCATTATTTCATTATTTCAAACTGAACCCTTTTGTCCCCTGTAGCTACTGAATATTAGGGAAGAGAGCCTTCTACGCGCATAGCTGAGCTGGGAGGATGAAGCCGGAAGCTGCTGGTAGCCCTCAGCCCCTAGGAAACCAAAGTGAACTCAGGAAGTTGAAGTTTAGAAACAGATAGGGAGACGTTCTTAATAATGGCTGAGCACCATGATCCAGCCACACCTGAAGCTGTCCCCAGAATTTTCAGTGGTATGAGCCAGTAAACTCTACTGTTTTGCTCTAGTCATTTCTTTCTTTCTTTTTTTGGTCACTGACTGCTGAAAGGGTCTCCTGGCTGATGTACTTGGTCAATCCTTTTTCCGACTGTGCTTTCAGGATGGAGCCGGGGCCATCTCAGTCCCGCAGAGACCCTAGGGAGGCCTGTCCCCACGGCTGTGTCAGTACAAAAGCTCTCTGCCAGGCCTGGGGCTCAGCAAACACCAGACCCCAGCTCAATTGCCATGATCTCACTGAGTGACTAGTGGAGTCTACATTTTCACTGCCCCCGAGAAGGCATTTCAGGCAGTGAGTTAGTTCCTCGTTGATACCTCTCTGGCCCCAACCCCTGACTTCAGCTGGCATCCATGAGCCCACTTTGGTTTGGGGAGTCTCTAGAAGGTTCTCCCAAGAAAATGCCGTTTGCACCCTGTGGTAAACAGGCTTACTTAAAACCATTTTTATTCTGCTGCTGGGCAACACTTTGCATTTGATTTGGGTAAAAGATCAGGGAGCCAGACACACACAAAAGCTGAGACGTGGGGAGCAGAAATGAGGCTCCAATACACCGGAACGGCACCAGGACCTCTGCAAGCGGAGGATTCACGGCCGATGCAGCCTCCCCGCCCCCGCACGGCGGACGAGTGGCGGCTCCCGACGGACTACTGGCTGAAGTGACGGGTGGAATGTGCTGTCCATCAGCGTTTTATTTTTTGCGAGGGCCCAGGATTTTTAACAATGTCTGAGATTCAGAGTTACCTAAGAACAGTGCTGTGTGTGTTTGTGTAGTGCCGGGAACTTGCCTCCAGGGCCTTCACATCTATGATGGCAATGAACTCTCATAACAGCCTCCAGGTAAGCAGGTCAATGTCATTGCCCTTGTTTTCCTGATGAAGAAACTTCACGGAGAGGCCGAGACACTTGCCTGTCATCAATCTGCAGAGTCAGCGTTTTGACTCTCAAACCCACGTTCATTTGCTTAGAATAAGCTGCCTCAGGCCAGTTCATCATTCACTGTATTTCTAATATTAGTTCTTGAACTTACTTTTGCCATATATACACATATCGCCTGTTGTGTTTAATCACTTCATATATTTTTAAAGAGTCCACTTACTTTTTCTTTAGTCAACTGATTTGAACAGAAATGATACATCACATCCTAAGAAGAAACCATAAATGCAAGGAGAATAATAGAGGAATACAATAACAACAAAGCGATGTATTAAATTCAGTCTGGACAGTAGCTTTTGAACCTGGGGCCTGCTCGTTTTTTCTTTATTGAGACAGGACAAGAGCCAACGAGTCAGAAGGGGGTTAAGGAACCAGGAGCCGCACACAGACTTTCTCCTTCCTGTCATGGGGGCTGAGAGAGGATAGAAAAGGGGAAATATTGTAGGAAATGTTCTTCGTGATTCTGTGGCATTTAACGTGTCACAAATGACATAAAAATCACCTTGTGGACTTCCGGTGGTCTGCCTGGCACCCCGTGAAACACCAGGGGACCGTGTCTGGCAGGGAGGGTGATCACTAAACAAGGACAGTCTCTGTGAAAGGGTTTAACAGAAAAGAAATACAAGGGGTGGCATTTCCAGGTGGCATCCAGGAATATCAAAGATCTTGCCTGAGATTTGCTAGAAAGAGAGAGAGGGAGTTTGAAAGAAGCACATTCCAGAAACACAGCCAGTTTATTCCCGAGACTGGGATGGGGAAGGTGCTCCTGTACCTAGGATTGGCCACTAAGTACGTTCTCAGAGTCTGTTGAAGTGGAAAGTGAGGCTGAGGTCAACTCGACCCATGGCGGATGCAAGCAAGGGAGGGGGGCCCTTTAGTGAAAGTGGGAGCCGGGCCAAAAAGGCCAGCAGGTCCCTGGGTTTGTGTCTGTGATAAGGGGGGGAGCTGCTGAAGCTTGAGGTGATGCTACCGCACGTAAAAGGGAAAAAAATGCACAAATTCAGCTCTGTCAAACAACTTGAAACATGCTGCAAATGTTTGCACTTGTCATTGCAAATGTCTTGCCATCATCTGTCGTTCTTCTTAGAAATTCCCTTCCCACCCCAAATCTGGAACACCCCCCCCCCCATTAAAAGTAATGAGATTTCCTGAGGCTCATTTCCAGAGGAGAGGAATGCACATGATGGCTTTTGCTAAACGGAAACAGTGAGACTCGATTTTTTTTTCCTTAAAAAAAAAATCAATGACTCTGGCTGACCTGGCTGGGCGGCTTGGTTTCCCTGCATGTTGGACTCTCTTTTTAAAGTTCAGTAGCCAGGGACCTGCCTCTGGAGAGTCCTGGAGGAGAAGATCTCACAGTCGGAAGGCAGGGATCCGTTCCTTAGCAACTCCTTCAGGGTGTGTGTGGATGAGGTCCGACCTCCGTGTTCGGCCGCTGCTGGCTGCTCAGGCGCTGCTGTGTGGTGCAGACAGACAGAGTAAGAAAGAGAAAGATGGCAGGACTAGGCCCCTCACCCAGGGCTTCCTTTTCCCCAGCGATTACTCTGATGATCTGAGTGCTGACGTGGGCAAGTGGAACTGCACCCTTTGGAGTCTGAGCACTTCGGGGAAACAGATGGTGTTTGAAAACGTATTTTATTTTACATGTGGCTCATGCAAAAAAAAAATACTAAGTGATACAGATGCAACAAAATGCCTGGGAGCATTTCTGAATCTCCTCCCTAAGGGTTGGTAGCACTGCTGGCCTGTGGTGCGCCCCTTCCAGGCATTTTTCCTGCTGCATTTAAATCCATAAATATGCACTTAGAAGTTCATCTTGTGGGTATATTTACATAAATGGGATTGCACTATTTCTGTGTGTCTTTGTGTATAACTTACTAATTTATCTAATAAGCATTTACATGCCAGGTGCTGCCCTAGATCGGTGATAATACCACCACCCAACAAACACACAGTGAGAACCGTGCACGGGCCCCTGTGCTTTACACAGTTTAACCGTCACAGCCCTGTGGGGTAGGTACTGCGTTATCCCCATTTTATAGGTGAGAGGACCGAGGCGCAGGCTGGTTAGAAGGGCACAGAGCTACTTAGAGGCAGAATCTGGATTTAAACCCCAATAGTCCAGCTCCAAAGTAAGCGCCCTGAAGTGTTATGCTCTGTTACTATGGACAATGGCAGAAATGAAAATGTTCCCAGAGTTTTCATTCCAGTAGGAGGAAACAGACCATAAGAATATATATGATTATATAGAAATATATGTGATAACATATAAATTATATAGGATTATGCATCACACAACTATATATAGTATATAATTGTATATTACATATAGGTGTATATAGTAATTTATAAATTGATAACATAAATATATATGGGATGGTATATTAAATGTATAAATAAATTTATATTAAATATATAATTTATAATTTCTGAGGGGGTGGCACTAGGAAGAAAAGTCAAGCTGGAGAAGCGGGCAGAGGGAAGGAGAGTGGGCGGTGGGAGCTGTTTTAGCAACGCTGGTCTGGGTTACCCTCTCTGCTAAAGCAACATAGGAGCAAGCACCTGGAGCAGAGATGGAAACAAGCCGTGTGGATTTCAGGAGGAAATAAATCCCAGGCAGAGGAGCCAGCAAGTGCAAAGGCCCTGTGGCAGGGGCCTATTTGTGTTGCTCAAGGAAGAGAGGGGAATTCATTGTTGCTGAAGTGGAGGAGTGAGGGGAGAGTGCTGGGAAAGGGATCACATGGGGCCTTAACAAGTAAGGAAGAGATTTCCATGTTTGAATGACAGTGTGTAATCCACCCTGCAAGTAAACCACTGCGTATCGAACCATTTTCCCAGTGATGGACATTTAGGTCGTTCCAAGGTTTCCACTCTTTCAAACACAGCTGCAGTGAACATCTTCGCACATCCTTGGTTCTCACCCTGGCCGCACATGGCAATCATCTGAGAGCCCTATCACTGGAGATTCTAATTTGACTGGTCCAGGGTGGGCCCTGGGCATTGGTGTTTTTTTAAAGCTCCCCAGGCCATTCTGATGTGCAGCTGAGGGAAGAGAATTACTGTTTCCCATGCCTTTTTGTGCACCTGTGTCTGGGGTGGTTACTAAGCAGTAGACTTGCTAGGTCGGAAAGCACAGGGATTTTTAAGTTTAATGGATAAGTTGGAACTGAGGCCCAAAGTCTGTCCCAATTTACTCCTCCACCAACAGTATCCAATTCTTCACACTCTTGTCAACCTTGATGTCATCCATCTTTTAAATTGTTTTGATCTGGCAGACAAAAGAAGTACAGTGTTTCACTGTTACTTTAGCTTGTGTTTCCCTGGTTACCAGTGAGGTCGAACATCTTTTTCGTGTTTATTCTGATTTCTTTGTCCATTGTCCACCAACTCACATTCTTTTCAAAGCAAAAATCTTTCCTTTGTTGGTGGTGATTTAGTGTGACTTGTCTGTACCTCAGTTTATCTAAACCAACAAAGAAAGGCCCCCCTGATCTTCTGGAAATAGTTAATATGCCCCATTTTCCAGCATGGAATCACAGAAATTCTCTGAAGACACATCTGTGCAAAATAATTCACAGAAGGCCTTACTCCAGTCAATAACATAGGGAAAAAGATGAATTGGCTTTTGTGATTTTGTAAAAAGGCCAACTTCTTATCCACCTTGATATATATGCTTACTTCCAATCCTAATGCAATTAAGAGAGGACTCATTCCAGTCTGTTTGTAAGACAGAAGCTCGGTGCAGAATGGGTTAATATCTGCGTATTCTGTGCCTGGTGGTAGGAGGCAGTGCTGGGACCCTTAACCTTGTTTGGAAGTCAAGGTCTTCCTTAACGGACACCTTGGCACAAGAAGGCTCTTACTTCTAAGAATGACAAACGTTTTTAAGACACAGTGGGGGAGGGCCTGGTTCGTTAGGTACCTGCAAGACCAGCACAGATGGAAGTTCAGTGGAGGTGCATTATATGGATTTAACTTATGGCAAATCAACTGTTCACATTGCTCCAGGAGGGGGAAAAAGCAACTGTTTGGGTGCAGCTGGAGATTCCGGCCTCGTCTGGCTTGGTGCTCATGAGCAGCGATGGGTGTGTGACCCCAGTGCCTTCACTGTCCGCTCAGCGTGTGGCTCCGGTGAGGCTCATGCTGAGGGACGGCACCTCCTCCAACACTGGAGGGAACATTAATGGGGGGTGATCAAGATTTGGTGTGTGAGACACTAACAGGGTACCCTTCTGTGGATGCTGCCAAAATTGATTTCGATTTTACGCAAAGCTCACCACGTGCCCTGGTATAACCTAACCCCCGAGTGAGATGGAGCTTCATGAAATGTCACTGGTCGTCTTTGTGGTGACAACCCTCGTCTCCTTCACACCCAAGCTTTGTCATGGCCAACTGTTTCTGCTGCTAAGGGAGCTCCACTGCACTGCACTGAGCATCAGACCTGTGACCGTGAGCCTGCCCACGAGGAGAGAAGGAAGGGGAAACTGGGGAGGTGTATAAACTCTCTGGGGAGCATAGGAAGCTTCTACCAGGCATCTCAGGTATGTAAAAATGTCCTATTTTGTGGCACGTGTCCACACAGGCAAGAATGCTCTTCATTAAATGCAAAGCCTTTAGAACAGTAGTCCTACAACCTTAGAATACGTAGAACTATTTGGGGGGGTGGTATGTTCATGATAATGTATATTTCAGAGCCACTCAGGGTCTCGATTGTGGCATAGGAATCGGCATTTCCCCCGAGAGTGTCAGCCGAATCTGTCACAGGTGGCTCTGAGGCTCTGAGAACCATGATGGGAGTAAGCCGACCTTGCTTGAATGCCTAGGGCACCAGCAGAAAGTCAAACCCCAGGACCTGCTGACCATGGCCAGGCACGTGAACGATTAGGGCTGATGCACTGATTTCTGCAGCATTTACAGGTTTCGCCTCCGTGGGATTCTTTTCTCCACTTTCTTTAGCAACCCGAGAGCAGGGCATTTTCTGACTTTGAGACTTCGGGTTTGTCTGACTCCGTTTGGAAAACTCAGAACGAGAAGGCCTGATTTCTCAGAATGACAAACGAATGTTTCCAGTGCCCGGGCTGTCTTCTGTCAGCCCAGCGTTCTGTCCGAAACGGTCGGGTATTTTAGTTCAGCGATTCCCAGCTCTTCTGGATCTGACGGCACAAAACTGCCTTTTCTTTGCTCCACAAACACCACGTGGCCTACAGAGATGTCCTGTAAAATTAGGGTGAATGAGACCGTTTTGTGAGTTTGGATAAAGACCATGCTGCCCTGGGAAAATAAGCTAGGTGGGGTTTGGGTCATTTGCGGGAGAAGTGATTGGGTACGGTTTTTTTGTTTGTTTGTTTGTTTTTATGAGGATAAAAAAAATCATTTTTAAAAGGCAGGGACCTGCCCTGGCTGGTGTGGCTCAGTGGATTGAGCTCTGGCCTGCAAATCAAGGGGTTGCTGGTTCAATTCCCAGTCAGGACACAGGCCTGGGTTGCAGGCCAGGTCCCCAGTATGGGGCACACGAGAGGCAACCATACATTGATATTTCTCTCCCTCTCTTTCTCCCTCCCTTCCCCTCTCTCTAAAAATAAATAAATAAAATCTTAAAAAACAATAAAAAATAAAATAAAAGGCAGGGACCTTGAGACTGGTTACAGTTTTGCTGATGTGGATAAAGAACAGTTTTTTTCTTAAAGACAGGACTTCACAGTTTTTTAAAAGGCAATAGGTTACTTCAGACAGTTTTTGAAATGGAACTCAGAGAACTCACATATTCAAGGCTTTCTGTCTTATGTCTGGGCCGGGCCAGTCCTTGCTGCCTTTTCAGACTGTTACAAAAGAGCCTCCCTGTGGGCACATCTCCAGGCAGGAACCCGACTCCCCTCCTTGGCACGGAGTTAGATACAACACATTAGGATGATGAGTTTGCTGATGGAATGAAAACTGACCGCTCCGTTACTGGCTAGCGACAGATAGTGCCTTCTTCCTTTTGCGTTGAGGAGGGAGGGAGGATGCCAGGGTTTGGCAAAGATGGTCGTTCTGCTGATCACCTGTATCTAAATTCCTGGGTGGGAGTGGGGAGCTGGAAAATGCAGAGTTTTGGACCCCACTTCTGGCAAAGCGAGTTGGAATCTGCGGACGTGACGCTTGGATGTCAGCGTCTCCAAAAACCTCCCCAGGTGACTGTTAGGCAGCCCCAAGCTTGGGAACCTCTGCCTTGTAATTTTGCCTTGCCAAGCAGTTTCTCCTGTGGCTGGGAAATTTTATTTCAAAGGATGACTGAGAAATTGGCCTTGCTGTTGGTCTAAGTGGAAGATAGAATTGATTCCATTCTCTAATCTCTCTCCCCTTGGTGCTTCCCCTACCTTCCCCGCCCAACCTGCAAAGCCTGTAAAACTTTGAGCTTCTTCATGGATTCTAACTGTGGAAGACTTTTTTGTGTTCTTTGGTATCATGGAGGGAAAGGGATTGATCCAAAAGGAAACTGGGCATACAGATAGGGAAGTAATTCTACCCTCACTCCGTAGACAGGGAAACTGAGGCACAGAGGTTGCAGCGGAGCCAGGGATTTGAATCCTGGTCAGACTGGTGCTGGAGGCCATGCCGTCACCACCGTGAACTGCGTCTCAGGAAGGAGGGGTGCAGAGGGGACTCGCCCTGATATTTTATAACTACTAACAAAACTTCCGTCACAAGCACACACACCTCGGTGCCTTGTCTCCAGACAGAAATATATTTGTATGAAGAATGGAGAAAGTCCTGATACATGAAGACTTCCCGGTCCTTTGTGAAGCTTCTTAGCGGTGTCTGATGGGCAAAACGATCTTTGAAAGCCAGACTGTCCACCAGGGACTGCAGTGTGATAAGCCCCAGGCTGCTGATGTGGGTGTTGTCTGTCTTCGCCCCTCACCATGTATTTAAGCAATGTGAATTGGTCGTCCACGTGTAAACGTCAGGAGATTGGAAAGGAAAACCCAGCTTTCCAATGCCTTGAAAAGTGGGCCCGTGGAGCCTGCATTCTGAGTGGTAACAATTAGTGGTAACAATTCTGAGTGGTAACAATTAGCTGGAGCAGAGGGGTGGCTGCCCCCTTCAGATGGTGCTAATTCGCAGTGGTCCCCCCTACTTCCGATTGCCCCACAACCAGGCTGTCTCACTCAAGTATGCTCCCTGCCTGACTCTGGGAGTCTTCTGTTTTTGGCGCCTTTGCCTCTGACTCATCCCATGTTGTTCTGTAGGTTGCAGCCTCACCATTTTACTCCATCTAAATCAGCTGTGCAGGGAGCCCCAGGGTCAGTGCCCTTTACTGGCCCTGGCTCTTGAGTGCACTAGAAGGCTTACGCTGGATTAGGGACTGTGTGCTGAATAGTTTCCAGAATCAGAATCCCAGGTTTAAACCCTGCCTTCTCCACTACTTAGCTGTGAGGCATCAGGCAAATCTTTGATTTCTTCACTTCTCCGAGCCTCAGTTTCTTCATCTGTGAGATGGGGATGATAATGCCTTAGAGGGTTGCTGTGAGGGGCCAGCGAGGAGTGATTCACGTAAGGGCTTAGAGAGTCCCTGGGATGTGATAAGTTCTATGTCGGGGTCACCACTACGATTATAACCCACCTAGCTCAAACTCTGGTCTGGGCAGCATGTATTTTCAGGAGTCCCTGGGAGTCAGGCCAGGCCTGGCCTGTTCCCCTGGAACACTATCCTTTGAGTTTGGCTCCTAGGACCAGAGCCTTGAACTCTGTTTGGTGGCACCTGAAGTTCTCAGGGCCTGTCTCAGTCATGATGATAACAATTGCAATAATAGGATTAATAAACAGTTTGCATGCTTTTATGCACCAACTAAGGAACAGACACCCAGCTGTCCACATTTTGCAGGTCATCTCACCTGCTTTCCCAGTAGCTCTGTTGAATGGGCACTGCCATAATTCCCACTATGCAGAGGGAGCAACTGAGGTTGAGGGACCCTAAGCAGGCTGAAGGTCTCACAGTGAGGGAGTGGTGGAGGGGGAACGTGCACCGGGGAAGTTGGGTGCCAAACCCGCGCCACTAACCCCACGATCTGCAGCCCTAGGTTCTCACACATGCAGCATGTTACACCGTCCTCACAGAACAAAGTCCGGTGTGTTCACACCTATTCCCCACTGTGTTCTCCATCAAAGGCCAGCATCATCCATGTGCCATCTTGCAGGCAAGAAGCCTTGACATTCCTTTGATGCTTTAGTGTTCTTTCAGCCCCACTGTGGCCCAGGCCCTCTGTTCTTTCCTTGGTGACACCTCCTCCTCCATCCAGTCGCCCCTGATTGCTCCTGGATCTGGCTCGTCCCATAGGAAGTTGACCTGCTGTGATGTCCACTATGCCCTTGGTCACCGAGGTTGGGTCGTCTGGTCTGAAAGACTAAAGGGTGTCCTCTTCCTCCCTCACTCACCCGTTGCCCCTTCCAAAAACCAAGCCAAACGGGCTGACCTTCTCAGCTTGTGGGAAGCGGTATGGGAGTAACCATGCTGCTCTGGCAGAAAAGCTAAAGGGCTTCTGGGAGATCTTATCTGCCTTTCCAGGACTTGTGCAGGGAGACAGAGAGGGATGTGGGCCGCTCATTTCTGAGGCTCGGCTGTTCATCACATGACCTTGCCCCTGTCAGACCTCCCATGGAAAATGTCATTGATTCCAGCGGGTGGAGCCCCTCTCAGCTGGCCAGGCACCAGAATATATCCGTCCAAATCCAGAGGGAAAGAGCAACCGCATCCATCTCCGCCAATGAGGTGAGAGCTCATCGGCAACACCAAAACTGCATGGCGACCCTTCTGCCCGTGGAGAACAGTTAGGCTGGTTGAGTGCAAAACCGCGCAGGAAATCGTTAAGCAGATCAGGTGGTAAGGCAGAACCAGCAAGAATCCTGAATATCCCATTTATTCTCCCCCGGTTCTCACTTTTTTACAGTCAGGTGGAACTGCGACTTGTTTTAGCCACAGGTGACATAGTGGGAATTATGGCAGTGCCCATTCAACAGAGCTATTGGTAGAGTTAAGTAGTTGCCATGGAGATTATGATAGAGACCACATGGCCCTCGAGGCCTAAAATATTTACTATCTGGCCCTTTATAGGAAAAGTCGTTGACCCCCTTTCTACACAGAGCAGCTGCAATAGCAGGAAACTTTGGATAGCATGGGGCCCTGAATGACTGTGTGGAGGAGAGACCCTTCCCCGAACTCCGTGGCCCATGTACTCACAGCGAAGCAAAAATGAAAACGTTTTTGTTTGGGATTGTCTGCTACCAGGGAATGACCCAACCTATCCTAACAGATTCCGGTGGGCATTCAAGAAAAGCCATCTTACGTTGGGAAGGACTCAACAAGACCTACTTACCTCTTTAGGAAGTGAACTGCACAGGAAATACCGATGATGAGAAGGCCAATAATGATGGAGGCGATGGCCACCCACTTGGCATTCCTCCCAAGTCGCCTGGATCCATCAATGTCTCCATTGTTGTAGCTGTTCAGAGACTGGGGGACACAAGGGTAGGGTGAGTGGTGACACAATCCACAGGGAAAGACAAGTGCTTCTCAGGCTGCTTGGAGCAGGCACCACCTCCTCCAGGAAGCCTTCCCTGAACTCTCAGGCTGTGTTAACTTCCCCTTCTGTATTTTCTGATTACTTCCATCTTAGTATTTGCCATAGCCTATTAAAATGACTGGCTTCACCTCTCCCATGAGGGTGTCAGTGCTATGTAGGCAGGCACCATGGCCTTGTTCAGCATCGGATAGCAGTGCCCAGAGCAGTGTCTGTCATGGACAAGATGCGTGATAAATATTTGCGTGATGACAGAATAAACGGTGTACTGCGTCATCCACTAGAACCAGGGTTTGTAAACTAAGACCCGTGGGCCACATTCAGCCTGCTGTGTTATAAGTAAAGTTTTATTGGCACATAGTCACATTTATTTAGGCAAGGCCTAAAATATTTGTTTGGTCCACGATGGAAAAGGTTTTCCTCTCCCCGCACTAGAAGGTAGATCCAGGAGGTCAGGGACTTCGGCTGAACCATTCACCTCTATGCCCAAGCCAAGCTGTCATTCACCTGGTACCTACTCATCTGGCTTTCCCAGATGTTACAACACTGAAATATTGCGTACTGCCCGGGAAACAGCCCCTGGCCGTCCCAGACACCGTGGCCCCTCCTCTGACACTCCCCAGACCTCTCTGCGGTCCAGCGACTTAAGGGTTACCACTGGGCCCAGCACAGCACCCTTTCTCATTCTGAGCCCCAGCCAAACTTGTCAATATTTTAAATACTGTTCTTGTTGCCAGTACTTTGAACAGTGTCTGGTCCATTGTAGGAGCCTGAGAAGCACTGGCTGAATGAATATGTCTGTTTCCCGATGGATCGTGACTTTGTTCAGGGCATCTTGGGGTCCCCCTGGAATCGAACCCAGTGCCGGGCAAAGGGCATGTGCCCAGAGAATGCTTGCTGCTGAGCTAAAGGCCAGATGCCATTCTTCTCTCTTATGATGACCCCCACTGTGGAGAATGCCCCCAAAGCTGGGCTGCAGCCCGAAGACTGGACATGCGCATTCACGAGGGATGGGCGGAGGGACTCGACTCCATCAGTGCCGTGCCTTGTAGGTCTCAGTGGGAACCTGTCGTCTTCACCCCGAAATCACAGCCCTTGAGTAGCAGTCACTCCCTTTCCTGGACTGTTAAGTGGGGGTTAGGTGTAGGCAGTCAATTACAAGCCAGAGAAACACCCAGTATACCACAGAGCTTTCTGCTTCCAGAACTTTCCATTAATTCTTGGACCCAGGCCACCTTTGTCAGCAACAGGCCAGGGGACTCCGCCACAGAGAGGATTCGATTTCAGCCCTCTCGTGGGGATGGGCGAGCCGGAACCTGCAGTGACGTGAGGGACTTGCCAGGACGGAGGGCTCCTGTTTCCGAGGGCTGACTCCTGACTCCTCAGCCCTGGGTGCTCATTCCAAACACCTGGCCAGTGTTGGCATTGTTGTTATTGTTATTATTACTATTATTTTCATCTAGATTGCTGGGCCCTGTCCTGGAAAGACTCTGATTTAACCAGTGTGGGGACCAGACCTCTGGTTGTTTTTTTAAATACACATAACATAAGATGCACCATTTTAACTCTTTCTGCGTGTGCAGTTCAGGGGCGTTAAGTTCATTCACCGTGCTGGGTGGCCATGACCGTCACCCATTGCCTCTAACTAACACTCTGTACCCACTGGGCTCTGACTGCCCCGTCTGCCCTCCCCAAGTCCCTGGCAGTCCCCACCGTGCTGTCTGCCCCCCGCGGAACAGACGACTGTAGGTCCTCGTGTAAGTGGGAGCAGGCACGACTTGTCTTGTGTGCCTGGCTTATTTCATGGAACATCATGCCCTCAAGGTTCATCCATGCTGTAGCGAGTGGCAGAATTTCCTTCCTTTCAAAGGCCGAATGTGTGCCCGTACCACACATCCTTAGCCACTGCTGCATCGATGGGCACCTGGGTTCCACAGTGTTTATCTACTTAATTAAAGCGTCTCAGGATTGAACACCTTTGGCAACTGTCCTCGATGTTCTTCAAGGTTGCTCTGCTTACCCCCTGAAGATTTATCCCAAGGAAGTGTGTAACAGAGCACAGGCTCTGAACTCGGAGAGATCTGAGTTCAAACCCGCGTCTTATTGGCTGTGAGAATTAGAGCAAGTTATCCAGCTTCCTGAGCCTCAGTGTCCTCATCTGTAAATTGGGAACAATGGTAATAGCACCTTCTTCACATTCAGGGAGCCAGTGAATTAATGCAGGCAGAGTGGTCAGCGTTGGCCCAGCACAACACGTGTGCTCAATAAATGTTAGCTTTTATTGTGAATTGTCATGACCTGTCTTGTTCTTCCTCAAAAACTTGAGACCTGTGGGGTGCCACAGAGTCATCTGGGCTGCTTATCAGAATCGTAGGTGATCAGGCTCTATCACTTATGGAGCAAAATCTTTGGGGACCCGAGTTTGAGTCCCCTTTGTTTTGGAGGCTTCCCCATCAAAGCTGGTGCATCGAACCTGAGCACCCCAGATTCTGAGCTCAGCATCCAGTGTCAAATTACGTAGAGTCAGACCTTCCTAAAGTGATTATCACTCTACTGCGCTGCCTTGGAAAACCCAGTTTTGAGACTGGTCATGGCCATGCACTTGTGCTGCTCTCACTGGAGGAAAAAACAGTGGAAAAACTCCCTCCGTCCTCCAGGCTGTGTGGATGGAAAGCGAGTTTCCCGTTCTCAGCAGCAGCCCCTACCGAAGCGGGAGGAGCAGCCCACGGTGCTGTGTCTGCGTGTGTGCTCTGCCCACGAGCACAGGTTAGAGGCAGGGTCCCCGGGCCACTCCAGCTGTGTGTGACTGAGCAGCCGACCCGACCGAGGGGCACGTGGGTACAGTTCCTGCCGAGGGCAAGTCCTGCCCAGCCTTCATCACCTGATGCCAGTCTGGCATCTTGTATGGGACCCTCCTCTCTGCAAACCGCCATCTCTCTGGGGCTCAAGGGAGACGTTGAGTGATTCCAGGAATGGAACTGTGTTCAGCTTGAAAAACAGATGAAAAACCTCCTTCAGTATCAACTGTGGGCTGTTCTCTCCCCAGGAGTCTTGTTATGAATTCCTTTCCTGCTCTGGTTCTCAGCGAAGGGGCTGCCCGTGGGCAAGGCTTCTTGTGGCTTCTACACTTCCAAGGAGAGACCCAGAGTAACTCCGTACACCTTCATCCCTTGTACATGAATGTTAATAGCAGCATTATTTATAATAGCAAAAAAAAAAGGAATCAACCTACATGTCCATCAACAAATGAATGAAAAAGCAAAACGTGGTCTCTCCATTCAATGGAAGATTACTCAGCCTTAAAGAGGAATGAAGTACTGGTACAGGCCACAACACGGATGCACCTGGAACATGTTATGCCAAGTGAAAGGAGTGAAACACGAAAGATCACATAACATGTTATTCCACTTATGTGAAAAGTCCAGAATTGGTAAGTTCATAGACACAGGAAGTAGATTAGACATTGCTGGGAGGACGGGGGATGGGGAGTGACTGCTAACGAGCGTGAGATTTCTTTTGGGGTGATGAAAATTGGTTGGGATTAAATAGTGGTGATGATAATACAGTCTTGTGAATATACTAAACATTACTAAGTTGTACGCGGTTCTGTATTTTTTTCCAAGAAGCAAGACCCAGAGGCAGAGCTTTTGCCCCTTGTGGGCCTCATGGGGCCCTTGGTGGGACCCAGAGAAGTTGGTGGGGCCCTGACAACAGGCGGTGGCCGGGCTCAGGAGCTGCAGGGTTACCCCAGTGCCCCCCGGAAGCAGCAGCCGGCCCTGCTAATGGTTAGCAGACCAGACTTCTGTGTGAGCAAGAGAGAAGTGCCTCCCAGGAACACAGGAAGGAATTTGATTTTTGTGAGGAGTTGACTTAGCAGGGAGGGACGAGAACCGGGGAGGCCTGGGCTGTTGTTTGTTATTCTAAGCCCTGTGTACACTCACAGGTCATCAATGCCTAGGGAACCTGGGACCCAGGCAAACGGAGATCCTGCTTCTTCGGTGACCACATGAGCGTTGAGTAATTGTTGTAGTTTGGAATGAGGGTTGAAGTAAAAATAAACCGAGCATGTGCTAAATGTGGTGGCGGGTTGGCTCGAGACCAGGGCAAAAGCAATGGTCTGTGAAGAGCACTTGTGTGACCCCCACTGGGCAGCAGCCCGAGCTTTCCATTTGGTGGCCTGTTCTGGGGTTCCTTCCTGGGGCAGTTATGTCCACTTTAAGTAGATGACATAGATGTCGTAGCATTTGTCCCTGGAACACACCAAGCTTATTCTACCCCCGGGCCTTTGCATGTCCTGGCTCAGACCAGATCTTCCCATGGCTGGCGTGTTCTCATCCTTCATCTTTGGCCAATCACAGGTTTAACAGTAGAATCTCTTCCCCACCACCTGCCCCCCTAGTCCTCTCTCATATTTTCCTGTTTACGTGGTCTGTCTTCCCCCCTCTCATGCTTAAGTTTCCAGAGAGCTGGGGCCAGTCTCATTCAATAAGCTGGCGAAGGCTGTGGTTGTCCAGTGATGCCCAGGGAGGGTGGGTAAGTCTGCCCAGTGTCGGGGAGAATGAATCCCTTTGGCTGTAGATCCGAAGCCACACTCCCCAAAGAGCCCATCTGTTGGTTCCCTGTGTCTCATTTCTTAATGGTTCGGAATTCTTGAGGGGAGGAAGAGCGGTTAATCTGCTGACCCAACATACAGGCCGCTTCTAACTGAGAACCATTTAGCAAACGGGTGCCCTAGTTGGCAGCTGTAGAAAGCTCACATTTTTCTACGGGACCACTACAGTGTTGGGTATATAGTAAGTGCTCAAAAATTATTGCATGAATGAATGACTGCAGGAGAACCCGCCCCCACGCCTGCTTTCTACCCACGAGACACGGCGGCAGAGTTTCCCAGGTGCTGTGGCACCTTCTGTGAAGGGACTGAGCGCGCTCAAAT